TAAAACACGAATAATATAAAAAATAGAAATATTAATGAAAAGAAAAAAAAAAAACTTTTTCATTCTAATTTAATTTCTTTAAAAATAATTAGTGAATAAAAGTTATTGAATCTAATGGTAAAAGAATGAACTTTTTTTATAAAGATGTAAAAAAACTATTTTAATTAAATTTTTTTTTTTTTTTTAAATATATTTAAAGCAATACAAAAAGGGCTAATAATTTTTAATTTTTATACATTATATTGTTTTATGAAAAAAGTTTTTATATTATTATTTTTTTTATACAATTATTTTAAAATTTTTTTCTTATGTAAACACTATTAAAGTATTTGTTGCTTCTCAACATGTTTCAATATGAGTTCATTTATCAATATTTAAACTTTTAACGTATTTATTTATTTAACATTTTTTTTCTTTCTATAATTAAGAATAAATTAAAGAAAATAATTTTTTGCATAGTCACTAAAAATATTCTCTTTTATAATAATATATATTAATCAATCGGAAATAAAATTCAGGTACATTTTGCTTTTAAAAAATGAATTTTCAAATTCACTCTAATAACTCAAATATATTTTAATAATAATTATTGCATATATTTTAATTTGTTATATGCATATTTAATTTTTTTTTTTTTTTAATAATAGTTACTCAGAAAATTATTAATATTATTTTCATTATGAATTTATCAATCTTATAATACAATAGAAAATTTTATTTTTTTTATATAAATTAAAATAATTCTAAATTAAATATTATGAGGAATGTTAAAATTTGTACAGCATAAATAAGAAATAAACTACAATATTTTACTTTTCGAGTATTTGTGTTGCAAATTACATAATCAAACAATTCTTAAATGTAAATTATTGATTGTAAAAATTCACGTAGTTTATATTGTTGCATGCATGCTTGAAAAATTTGTAAATAATATGAATTTCTCGTGAGATTAGTAAAACTGTTTATTCTCTATTTTTATTAAAATAAATTAAAATTTCGATTGTTGATGATTTCATACTAAAAAATAGAATAGCCATATATATTTTAGTAAATGTATAAATTGAAAATAGAAATATAAACTAAATTATCTAATTAAAATTATTTATATTACTCTCAAAAAAAAAATTTAATTAGATACATTATTAAGAAATGAAGAAAAAAAAAAACCATTATATTACATAAATTATAGTGTTTTTTTATGTATATCCATAATCAAATTTACGTAATATTTGCTATGAAAATACAGAACAAATATATTGATAAATTAATATAAAAATGTTTAAATTTATTCTAATATTTAATATTTATATATTTATTTTAATAAAAAAATCTAATTATATAAATAAAATAAGCGTATATATATAGCTTAAATTTCATCTAATTTATATAAATGTTTTTTTTCAGACTTTTACGTGGGATATTAAAGTTTTAGCTTCTTCGGATAAAAATGATTTTATTCATCAATATATATGTAACAACTAAAGAAAATATTACAGGAAATGTTTCTTTATATTATTAGTAATTTAAGATTTGAAACCTATTTTTATTAATAGATCATGCTAAAGTATATCTAATATTAAAGTAAAAATAAAGTACCATTTTATTATATCATCATTTCCTACTTGTTTACCTTTTTGTTTGTTTTTAATGGCATATTATTATTACATGTTTAATGAAAAAATGATAAGCAAATTTTCTTCTTTTAATTGGATTTTTCATTTTAATACTATTAATTAACAATATTAAAAATTTAATGAATATCTTATCAATAAAAAAGTATAAAATTTTTTTTAATTGCAGTTTTCATTTAAATATATAGATGTATACAAATTTAATAAAATGAACATGATGAAATGAAAATTTAATTGAAGCAAGAAAAATAAAGCAAAAAAAAATAGAGTTTATGAGAAACTTTAGTGATAAAAAATGTGCTTATAAAAAGGATTTGATAAACTTAAGTTATAGCTTTGTTATTTTGGTAATTTCATTTTATAAAATTTTTCTTAAATGAAATAGATTTATTATTCATTCTTTTTTTTGATTCGTTTGCATAGTACTTAAATTTATAAAAAGATATAATAAATATGCATAAATATATATTACAGATATGGTATTAATAAATATATTCGTTATATAAAAAATTTATAGTACTTATAAATATATCTAACTATAAAAAATTGAGATTTTTGCATACAAGTAACTATGAATTATTGAAATTTATAAATACATCATATTATATGAGAAAAATGTAAATTATATCTTTAACAAAAAAAAAAAAAAAAAAAAAACAGAATACATAAGATATACAATAAAATATCTTGAACATTTGTAATATATATTTATATTATTTAAGAAAAGGATATATTTCATATCATGTAATAACAAAAATATTATATGGAAATAGTTATTTTTCACTCTAAAAATGTGATTACGGAATTAAATAAAGAACTTTTTTTTTTAATGCGAATTTAGAGAATAAAACAAAATGAAGTTTCATTTTGAATAGATTTTTGTTAACTTTTATATCTTTCTTTATGCTATTCAAAAAAATTAAACTTGTTCCATACTACATCAAATATGCAGAAAAAACTGGAAAAATGTTTAAATTTGTCAAATTTATTGAATATATCAAATGAAATATACAAGATAAAGATAAAAAAATATTTTTATTATTTAATAAAAAATAAATTATATACCAAAATAATTTAGGATTTTTTTTTGAAAAATACTGTTGTATATTTTTTATAAAAATAAATGAGTTTTCATTAGAATAAGAAAGTTGTATATTCAAGTCATAAAAATTCTGAAAGTTTTTTAAATTTGATTTAAAGAGAGAATAATAATTTTTATTTATGTGAATCAATAGAAGATCGAAATAAAATAAAAACATTATTTACTTTGCATAATATTTGTTTTCTTAATAGTAATATTTTTTTAAAAATAATTAATATTGACTAAGTTGGCAAATTATAGAAAAAAGTTCAAAGAAAAGAAAAATATAATTGAAATAAACCTTTGGATTTAGTAGTTAAAAGAAATAAACTGAAAGAAGTTATACATAAAAATGTTCATTGACTGTAGATATAATATATTAATAAATTGAAGTAAATTATAGAAAGAAAAAAAAAAAAAAAAAAAAATATTAATTTTTAATTTTTTATGATTTTGTACTTTATAAGAATTAATTTAATATTAGTTGTAAAAATAATTTAGAACTGATCATGTTTGTTTCCATTATATTATGTTGACCATATGATAATGAAATGAAATGTTAAGGAAACATGGTAGAAAATATATGTATATATATAAAGTACTTCAAATAGAGATGTGATTTTATAGTTAATAAAATGAACACTTTTTATATATGAAAAATAATTTTACTGCCACAAATATGTTTTTATTAAAGTGTATCAGTTCACCTTTCCATTTTTTAAAAACAAAAAATTTATTTTCATTATTAATAAAAATTTGACTTAATGAAACCATAATAAATAATTTGCCAATTTTAATTGAATACTTTCAGTAATTATAACGATTCAATAACCTACTTTTTATTTTTATTTCTGTTTTTAGTGAAGCACAATATTTGTATATGTGAATTAATAAGATTTCATTAAAATTAATAAAATACGTATAAATATAGAGATTAATGTAAATTTATATAAATTCTTATAACTTAATGTATAAACATACCTTATTATTTAGGATAAAATAAATATATATTAGTAATTTAAGGAAGTGACTGTTATTTTTAATAAAAAAAAAATTAAATATAAATATAAATATAAATATAAATTATTTCTTCCATTTTTAATATGAAAAAGTGTTTTTTCTACAAGTTTAGAGAAAAAATATTTTTTTTTTATTTATATTATTATATAATTCATATTTAGTTTATAACCTTGATTTTTTTCTATTAAATACTACGAGTATAATTTATATAAAAAAGGAAAACTTTTTCAGGCACTGTAAAAAAATACATATTTAATTTGTTATCCAAATATAAAAACAATGAAAGAAAAAAGAAAAAAAGAAAATGTATTTTAAGGCCTAGGTATTTATTATATATATTTTATATTTAAGAATTCTTTAATAATATTAGAATATAAATAATTTATTTTTTACTATATAATTGAATTTTTCAAATATCAAATTACAACTTTAAATTTGTTCTGTTTTACTATAAATAATTTTTATTAATTGCATGTATTTATCCAGAAAATTTTCATCTAACAAGTTTTAAATTACATTATAATACTGTAAAAATTATACTACATGCACTATGATAGCAAATACTAATTCATTTTTAAATTATATTGTTGCTTTAGGTTTAATTTATAATATATATATATTTTTAGAAAAATAAATAATTTTTATATTTCTTTTATTAATTAAAAATTTATAAATTTTTTGAAAAATATAAACAAAAAGTAATGTCATATTATCTAAAGTATTATTTAAAAAAATTAGGTTAAAATTTTTTTAGTTAAAAATATCACTCTAATAAAAAAAAAAAAATATAAAATATTATATAATAATATTATTACTTTATATATTAACGAAATTTGTATGAAATTTATTCCATAGATATGTTCTATAATTCATATCACTTATTTTGTTTTATTAAGGTTAAAAATGTTGTAATATAATTTAAAGAACAATATATTTAATCAAAAAAAAAAAAAAAATAAAATAAAATAAAATACAGAACTTTAGTTTATGGAAATAATTATACATAATTTTTAAATTAAATATATAATATTTTACTATTTTTTTTTAGTAAATATTAATAAATTTTATATTATTAATTATTTAAATAATGAACAATATAATTCTAATATATTTTTTTAGATATCTAAAATTAGAAAAAAAAGTATTTATATTAAAAAATAAAATTAGAACTTCTATGTAAAAATAAGATATAAAATTTTACTATATGAACAAAAAATTTAATTTTTAAACATTTTTAGTAAAAAGTTAGCAATATAAATTTAAAGCAAATGTTATACATAAATTGTTTTTACTACATAATTCAATTTTTTATATTAATTAACATTTGTATATCACAAGAAGAACAAAGAGATGGAAAAACTAATTCGTCTATAAAAAAGTATATAATTTTTGAATATTTTCATATATCAAATTTTTTTTTTATTAATTATTTTATTTATATATTATTATCAATGTTTATAGAAAAAGTTCAATAAAAAAATCCAAAATTGATAATCCCACGTTAGAAGAAATAGTAAACAAAGAAAATTCAGGGGATGATAAATTACTCCCTCATCAAAATGTTTTCAGTGAAGCACAAATCAAACCATCAACTTCATATGGTGATGCTAATTCTCCTTTAGAACAGTATACAATTTGAACTTTTTCATATATAATATCTTTTATATCAAATATGTAAATATATATATATAATGCATTTTTAGGACACATTCTACTATTCAAACTAAGGATATTATTTCTGAAAAAGGAAATATAGAACATACAGAAAATTTTGAAAAAAATGGAAAATTCAAATTATATAGTGTTCTATCGGAATTACAAGAAACGCTCATTCATTTGCAGAAAGAACTTCACCATTCACCTGGAGAAGGGTATGTTCTCTTTAGATATTTTCGCATAGAAAATTTTTTATTTTAATTAAATATGGTATATATATGTGTGCACATGTATTTCTTTTTAGAGAATGTTCAACTGTTCTTCATGAAGGTATATCGTCTGAAATAAAAAGCATATTTCAAATGGAAAATTTAGATGAAAATGAAGTAATTATGTTTCAAGATATTTTTTTTGAGTTACAAAGTACTCTCCTTCATCTGCAAAAACAATTGAATGATCATCTTTTAGAACGGTATATAATTTTTGAGAATTTCAACATAGATTTATTATTAACAAAATATGATATATATACGTATATAATTTTCTTTTAGGGCATTTCTAAATGTTTGTGAAAAATCTTCCAGTAATGGAATGAGTATATCCTCAGAAAATTCTGAGCAGAATATACTTAATTTAAAAAATTTTTTTGGTGAGATGGAAAATATAGCTTCTAATCTTCAAATAAAACCATATAGTTTGCCTTTAGAAAGGTATATATCTTTTGGATATTTTCACATAAAATATGTTTTAGTTAAATAATATATATATATTTATGCAAATAATTTTTTTTTTAAAAAATCAACTTTTAGTCATGAAAATATGCCTTCTAATATGGGAGAGTTAATGGAAACAACATATGAAGATGATGATGAATTAGTTGAATTACAAAATATTCTTCGTGAGTTAGAAAACACACCACCCTATTTAGTAAAGGAAGCTCATAATTCTCCATTCGAACAGTAAAAATTTTTTATATGTCTTTATATAGAATATTTTTTATTTTAAATTAGATATTATATACATATGTATATAATCTCCTTTTTTTGTAGGCAATGTTCAACTATTAATGATGAAGAAATTCCTCCAAATATAGATGATATAATATTTGCAGAACATTCAGGACAAGGTGAACTCCTTAATGTAGAGAATTTTCTCTGTGAATTGAGTAATACACCCATTGATTTTCAAGAAGGATCTCTTAGCTCATCTACCGAAGAGTATGTTTTTTGAATATTTTCATATAAAATATTTTTTATTTTAAATAAATATTATTTATATATATTATTTTTTATTCTTTTAGGCAATTATCAGATAATAGTTCTGAAAATAGTCCTACAACAAGTCCTATGCAAACGGAAGATGTAGAGAAAGATAATATAACGGATGCACAAGATTTCCATAGTTTACTCACAAAAAAGTATATATACTTTTTGAATATTTTGTCATATATTTTTTTTAATTTTATTTTATAATTACACATATAATTTTTTTATTTTTAGGGAAGAAACATGTGATCCTCCTGGTAATAGTTTACATATGAAATTAAGGAAAAGAAAATATGAAGGCGAAGAAGATAAAGAAGACAAAGAAGATAAATTAAAAAAGCAAAAAACAGATAATACAGAAGATGATAATAAAGAAAAAAATATTGATAATGATCCTAATACTTCAAAATGTAATGTAAGTAATTCAAATGATGAAATGAATCATCCTGAAAATTATAGTAAATTTCTTCAATATATTATGGAAAACGTTTTTGAAACAAAATTAACCCACTTATATGATGGTGTAGCTCCTAATTTACAAAATATATATGATAATTTAAAAAGCAGAAACAATAAATTAATAAAAATAATTAATGAAAATATTCATTCATTGAAAGAATCTATTATAAAAGAAATGAAAAATGTTAATAAAGCAGATATAGATGAAATGAATAGACATTGTGCTAAATTCTCTGCGAATGCTAATAATTCAGGAGAAAATGTTGATATTTTTATTCTATCATTCGGTAAACGTATAAAATGTAATTTTAATAATCTAAAAAAAGTGAGTAACAATGTAAAGCTCCTTTTAAATAATATAAAAGATTTTAAACTTAAAATTTATATTTTGAAAGAAATAAGTGAAATGGCATTAAAAATTGCAAAAAATTTGACCCATAATTTTATTTATTTAGTTCCTCAAATATTACCAGAGAAAAACTCAGAAGCTTTGTGTAAAATTTTAGACGATATAGAAAATATTATAGTTGAAAATGAAAAATCAATTAAAAATGGATTTTTATTAACAGATATTACTAAAATAAAAAGTGTTCAACAAAATATTATTCTTTCTAGAAATAAATTATTTCCATATTATGTTAAATATTCACAAAAGTATATGCATTTATTGAATTCTCTGGATATATCAAGGAAAAGTAATAGTACATCTTTACAAATTATGCTCTATTTTCTTAATTTAGAAAATGCTAAAAACAGAAAAAATTTAGAAGCTTTACAAGCATATAGTGACGAATCTGCTATAAAAAACATTGAGTTATTTTTACAAGATGAAGAAAAATATATCACAGAATCTCAGAACAAAGCATGCAAAAGTTTCAATCTAGGATTTAGTGAAAGAAGAACAAATATTTTATATTTAAACAAATTAATAAATGACAAAAAAAATATAGGAATTATTCCAGATATTTATGAAACCCTTGTAGAATTATTAAGAATTGAATATTTTAGAAAACTTTTAAATATAACTAGAGATATAATAATGGCAATTATGCATATAAATTCAAAGAAAAGTAAAAAGAGTTCACAAAATAAATCAAGAAAAATATTAACACAGGAGATGCAATCGACTTTACTATCAAAACTAAATGATGAAAAACAAAAGTTGCAAGAAGTAAAATTGATTATAAAAAATTTATATAAATTTGACAATTTAAAAAAAAGTATAGAAAATTTTAATAAATCATTGATAACTACACATAAAAAAACAGAGGGTATCATAACAATTTTGGAGAGTGTTAATCGTTTATTGTGCAATAACCAAAATAAAGAACGTGAAGATAAAAAATTAGTTAAGATAGAAAATATTTTGTTTGCTCTATTTTTTGCTAGCAAAAAAATAGAAAGATTTCCTTGAGAAAAAGCAAAAAAAATATATTATACTTATATATATATATTTAAGAAAGAATAAAAAAAGTTTCACAAAATCATATATTTTTTTTAGTAAATAAAAAAATTTATTAATTATAAAACATATAGAATTTTTAGTAATAAAAAATTCGTTATCTTTTTTATCATTTGTTCAGTTAAGCATTCTATAAATATTTAACAAAAAATTTTATAAAGATCATGCAAAAAAATATTTATTACCTTTGTTAAAGTAAATAATATTTAATGACAAATTCCAAACTTAAATTATTTAAATGATTAATAATTTTAAATATGTAGTTTTAACATGCTTATCTTTCTCAATGTGAAAAGTATAAGAATAAATATAATTAGTTTGTTAAACATATTATATCCTCATTTTTATTAATTTATATGTTATTTGCATAAGATATAGTATTCATATTTCTATTTTATATAAAAAATAACTTTCTCAAAAAAAATATATATATTTTTTTATTCTTTTATTTCTTTCAAAGAAAAAAAAAAGAGATTTTTTTTCTAGTTTGTAATAAAACGTAAATAGTATAATGAAAAATGAAATATATGTATGTTTAATATTCAGATCTTTCAATTCTATATTGCTTTAACTTTTATGGTGGGCCTAATTACATAAAAGGGATTACTCATTTCTATTTATTATACCACTATTGATAAAAAGAAAGCATACTAAAAATTTTTTTTTATTATATTTTTTGTTTTAATTTATATCTTTAACTTTTTAAGATTATATATTATGTAAAGTTTCTTATTTCGTTTTTTTTTTTTTTTTTTTTTTTTTTACCAGATAATACATGTAACTCCTAATATAATAATAAAAATTTATATTTAAAAATCCTATTTTGCAATTATTAAATTAATTATAAATGCAGTTTTAAATATTTTAAAGATGTGGTAAAAATTTTGAAAATTAACACTATAATAATGAAATAATAATTTTTTTTTTCTATTTCTTAGTTTTTATAACTCATTTATTAATTAGCTTTTTAAATATTTTTATAGTATTTTAAATACTAATATTGATGAATTGTAGAGGAACCTTGCTTTACTAGTTGTAATATTAATTATTACTTATGATAATTGACTGTTTATAAATTACACTAAATAATTTAACCTAAAATATTTTTATGAAATGTATAATTTTTTAATTAATTCATTATTTAATATCAATTTTCAGTTTTTTCATTTAAATTAATATATACACTACTTAGTTATTAACATTCACAATACTACATATATATATATATACTTCTTCTAAAAGAAAAAATTTAGCTTTTTTACACATATATTGACCTATTGGTTAATAAAAGGCTTCATTAACCTTTTTGGCTATAAAAGGACTAGCTATATGGAGAATACATAGTTAGTTGTGCTAACTAAAAAAAAAAAAAAAAAAAAAATTATTGGAATTTTTTTTTGAGAAATGTTTCTTTCGAAAAAGATAAAGATAAAAAAAAAAAATAAAAAAAGATTTAAATTTTTCTTTTTTAGAGAGAAGAGAATCAGAGAGAGAGATTTTTTTTTACAAAAGATAATGATATTTTTGTAAAGCGCTTAATTTGCATAATATTTATATTTTGAATTTGTGAGAGAAAATTTTATACATATGAAGATAAAATTTTCACGTAATTAATATTCATATAATTTATTTGCATTTTTAATAAGTATTTGTGTTTTGTTAATTCAATAGCAATATAAAATGATTGCTGAATATAACTCATAATAAATAAACTAATAATTATAATCAATTAATAGTTAATGTTAAATAAGTGTTTAAATTTTTAATAAAAATAAGAATTTATTTATTAAAATAAATAAATACCTTTTGAAATAAAAGGATGCTGAACAAAGTAGTTTATGATTAAAGATCATTCGTTCAAAGCATATAAAAATATACATAAGTATAAAAAAATCGTAGAGTCATCTCTACGTGCTCTTTATTAATTAGTTTGTTCAGTACTCTAGCAAAGTCTCCGAACACCCAGTTAATAAATCACCTATTAGCTACCTGCACGGTTACTTTTCTAGAGTTTTAAACAAATATACTAATAAAGAGCATATAGTATTATGTCTACTAATTTAATGAATTTATATATAATTTTAAATTCTATAAAACAAGTAAATTGTATTTATGTAGTCTGTTTCTTTAATCATCCTTTATTTTCAATAGGCATTTATTTACTTTAATAAAAATCCCTATTTCTATAAAAAATTAAAATCTTCGAATATTGATTTTAATGAAGTATATTTTTACTTATAAAGTTATGAATAGTGTTAAGCAATTAAAGTATGCTACTTTCTAAGTTAATAAACTTAATGAAGTACAAATTAAATTATATAAACATGGAAAACATGAAAATTTTATTATTAGGCATATAAAATTTTTTTTTAAAAAAAGAACTAAGAATAAAAATTCATTACAAAGAAACTCTCTCGCCAACAAATTATTTCTTATTTTTTTCTAACATTGTTTTTCTGATCATTAAATATCTTTAAAAAAAAAAATAAATATATTTTTTTACGGTATATCCTTTGTAAAAATAAAACAAAAAAAATTAAAAAATAATTTTTTTTTTTTTATTCATACGTCGCTTGCGTAGCTAACTACGTATTTTCAATATAGCTAGCTATTTTTAATTAAAAAGGTTAATAATTCCCTTAATTAATAGTATATAAAAAAAAATTATAAACATATATTTTTTAAATGTGCATACTAAAGGATGCAACATAACATATCCATTTTAATGTACATATTTTGAGATTTGTGCAATTTAATATAATATTTTACTCAAATACATTATTTGCACAATCAAAATCTCAAATTCATTGTATTTCTTTTTAAGACAAAATAAAAATAGGATGATAGCATTATTTATTGAACAATAATACACGAATTATATATGTAAATTAACAACATTTTATGAAAATAAATATATATATTGATAAATCTCCAAATGAAAAAAAATATATATCTACTCTATTTTATTAAAAAAAAAATTAATTTGGTATCAATTTTCAATTCTAATTTTAACACAAAAAAAAACTTAATATATTTTAAAAAAAATGAGTTTTCTTTTTCTTAATATAAAAAGTAAAAATATTAATTGCTTCCCTTATTCAGATTAAGCTAAGATAATTTATTTACTTCTGGGTAGAAGTAAACATATATATTTTTTTTTACAAATGAAAATATTTACTTTTTTTATTTTTTGTTTTTAGACATTTTAAAATGTCTGAAGTAGTGTCATTTACTAATTATTAATACAAAAACTTTCATTAAGAGTTGAGCCAAAAAATTAATAAACATTCGTAAAAATATATAATAATTTGAATGCTTTTAATTATTAAAAAATATTTAACCCTTTACAAATTGAGCTTTCATTAAATATATGTTTAATAAATGATTCTATTAACCTTTTACTGAGTAATACTTGGTAGCTATGGCGAAAAGAAAAATTCATTTAATATATTCATTATTTTTAAAAAAAAATTATTTTTTTTATAAGTTTTTTTTTTTTTTTTTTGAGTTAAAATAAATAAAGCTACATTTTAATAAGTTATTTAACTAATTCCAAATAAACGAAAACAAATTGTTAAACGATTTATCATCTAAATAATTTAAAAATATTTTTACTTATAATTAATTATTTGAATAAACAATTAATTTTTTGATGGAAATATAGATAATTTTTATTAAAGTATATGTCTCTAAAAAGGGCTAATGTTCAATTATGTAAGCAATATATGTGGTTGGTTTATTAACTGGATGTTCGGAGACTTTGCTAGAGTACTGAACAAACCAATTAATAAAGAGCATGTAGAGATGACTCTACGATTATCTTATACTTATGTATATTTTTATATGCTTTGAACGAATTATCTTTAATCATAAACTACTTCTTCAGCATTCTTTTGCTTCAATTAGTATTTATTTACTTTAATAAATAAATCCTTATTTTATTAAAAATTTAAACACTTATTTAACATTAACTATTAATTGACTATAATTATTAGTTTATTTATTATGAGTTATATTCAGCAATCATTTTATAAAGCTATCGAATTAACAAAACACAAATACTTATTAAAAATGAAAATAAATTATATGCATATTAATTACATGAAAATTTTATCTTCATATATATAAAATTTTCTCTCACAAATTCAAAATATAAATATTATGCAAATTAAACGCTTTACAAAAATATCATTATCTTCTTGTAAAAAAAATCTCTCTCTCTCCGATTTTTCTTCTCTTTAAAAAAAATAAAATTAAATCTTTTTTTTATTTTTTTTTTTTTTTATCTTTATCTTTTTCGAAAGAAACATTTCTCAAAAAAAATTCCAATAATTTTTTTTTTTTTTTTTTTTTTTTTTATTTAGTTAGCACAACTAACTATATATTCTCCACATAGCTAGTCCTTTTATAGCCAAAAAGGTTAATGAAGCTTTTTATTAACCAGTGGTTAAAAAAAGGCATTATTAACTTTTTTGAGAATAAAAATAAATAGCTGTTTAGAAAATTCACAGTTATAAAAGCGCTAGATAAAAAAAAAAAAATAAATAGATAAAATATTTTTTATTTTGGAAAAAAAAAAGAAAGTGTGAATCATGTATTAATTTTTTTTGATATTTTTAAAGAAAATTTTACACAACAATAATAAAATTTGTTTTTGTAATATTTATATTAATTAATTTGTATTTTATTAACTATTCATGTTTGTTAATTTTATAGCAATGGACTTGAGTTACTAAATATAACTCTACATTACAAGTAAAATATATGTATTTTTAATAAAAATACAATTTCTCATTATTTATTGATTTTTAAGTATGGATCTTTTAATTATAATTTTGTGAATATATGATTATCAAATCATTTTCATTTCTTATAAATTTATAAAAATAAGTTCAAATTAAAACATAGCTCATAATACATGAACTTATTAACTAAAATTTTAATTTTTAAAA